AATATAGCAATGGTTAGAAAATGTAATTTCATCAGATGAGTGTTGAAAGTCACAAGCCTATCAAAACAGAAGCCATTTAAGATGTTTTTAAGGCATACATCTCTGAGTATTTATGACATAGATGTTAAAGTTTCTGGAGCATCTTAGTGTTACATCAGTGGCTGCTGTCATTTTGCCTCAGATTAATTGTCTTGATTAAGTGACTCTTCTTTTTAACTGACAAGATGAAACAATTAAATTTCTTTATGGCTTTGTGCTAGGGAGAAATAGGGAACCACCTAATGAGAAGTTACTTAAGGGTTTGGGATGAAGTCTGATCAGTTGAGCTGTAGCCTGAGAAGTTAGCTACAGAAGTAGCTTTCCATAGCAAATAAAGGGCTGGTAACAAATACGGGGGAGAGAAAAACAGTTGAAGGTATTTATTAGCACAGTGAACTACCAGAAGAAGTGATTTCTGAGCAAGAAAACTGCTTTCAGTTGCTTGTTTCTACAGTATTCAGAGACAGAGGTCTTTATGAATATTCTTACAAATAAGCTTTGCTGTACTCTAACAGTCAGCTCTCTTTCTTAGAAAAACCCTTATTTTAGTGGCTGTCTGAATAGACTAAAGCATGACATTATTTTCACAGTGATACAGATATGTCACTTGTGTTACTACATTGCTGAGATTAATCATGATGCAGGTGTGCAGTTATGTCATATGCTCACAAAAATAAAGCCCATAGGCAGCATGAGCAGCAGAGTATACTCCTAGATATCCAAAATCCAAGCCAAACCAATTGTTCAGACACACATTTTAGTATTATTAATTTAGAGAAATGACATATTCATATACCAAGACAAATATTTAAAAGGAAATTCATACATCTTCTGGTAGCAGACATAGGCCATGGATGTCCATAACCCTTGAGTGCATGTATATTTGCATTGTGAGTGAGAAGCTCGAATAGGATGTCTTTTCTTTCTATTTCTCCTGCAGCCCTGGAAGTATGTTCCTCAGCTCAGAATGAAGCTCACAAGGAACAACTTGGATGCATTTCAGAGGGACAGATCATTCAATTCCTCCTCAGTATTAAATTGTATGTTTCAGCAGCACGCCTTGACTTAAGCCACACACAAGAGTGGGAAAGAAACACTTTACCTTCATAAAGCTGAACAGAGGATTGTAAAAGCTACTATAAGGCTATGTTTCCTTTTGGAGAGCAAAATAAAGCAAAGATAGTTGTTCTCAATAGCAAGAGGACAAAATGGACAACTGTCACAGCAGGATCTAACACTGTATGCATCCATACACATGCAGTATTCCCACGACTGCAAAGACTGAAAAATATTTGTTACATAACATATGGCTCAGTTCTTTTTTTTTTTTTTTTTTTGACTAGACAAAACTTACATTTAATGGGAAGTAAGAATTATTTTATAAAGTCCAATTTATAAAGAAGTATATTTTCCTATTTTTAAAGGACATAGTGTTTCTTTTTACTAGCCAAGACAACTATTTTTARTATAACCCATGAACTGTTGGAACTGTCCGTAGAACAAATGCTAGTTTAACAGACAGATAAACATAAAAATATGTGAGAGCATCTTTATGTGAATCAAGTTTAAATGTTCGCTTGCATTGCCATTCAGGAATACAGAGATACTAATCTGTATAAAACTCATGGAAGATGCTGGGAGAATACTCCATTGCAAATCCAGTTCAGAACTGCATAGTTTATAAATCTGTGCTCTGGTTGCTATGGTAGCTTTAGTTTTGGTTTTGATAACTCAGGATTATGCAGCATCAAAAAGTAAAGCATCTTATTCTTTCTATAAGGTTCTTATACTCAGAACTAACTAAATCAAAGAGCAAGAAGTCTGCTTCTTACATAGTTCACTTGAAAATGTCAAGAGCAATTTGTGCATAGTCTTCTTACCTCTTTTTTTCTGGATAAGGATTGTACTGGAGATTTCACTGTTACATGTGTGGGTGTGTCACACCATCAGACTAGAGAATACACCAGATTTAAACACAGAAAAGACTATCACTATCAATTAAAACAATGAAAGAAATGCCTTATTCTTACGATAAGTATCTCTGTCATTGTCTTTTCATGAGAAAAGATAATTTTATATTTTCTTATCCTATCTCTCATTTTGCCATCCCTGATTCTTTATAAAAATCCGTTACATTTATTTGAAAATTTTGGGTCAATATATGTATGCAATATTTATCACAGCCTTCAAATTATCCTTTTTTCCCAGAATGAGAATTGATGACATTGACTTTAATATATTAGTTTTCCTTCAATGGGAAGAGAAAAATGTTAAGACAAAATTTTCAGAAGCCACACTCTGTGTAGTTCTGTTCAAGATGAAAGACAAGACAACAAATATCCTGTTGGAGGTCAGAACAAAAATTCTACTCCCAAAAGCTTGGGATTTTGAGCAGTGAAAAAGCTTTATCTGTGAGTTTCTGTGGCCTAGAAGCCTGTGTGAAATAGCTTTGAACAATGGTTGTAATGCTTTTAAGAAAAAATGGAAAACCAGAAAGCACACTGATAACAATCTCATTGCTAAATCATTGTATTGATCACTTGAAGCCTTCATTAAATTAACTGGAAATATGTACACACATGGATGCTGTCTCTGCAAATGTTTACACGGTTACCTCGACAGAAAAGTCATCCTACTGAATTCAATGCTAATATTTGTATGCGGAAAATTACATACTTATTCACCTTTAGTGCTGTGTATATACATGCAAAAAAAGGATTTAACAGCACACCTAGTGTGTAGTCTGGTTGCCTGATAAAACTAGGTCTACTAGCATGCCCTTAAGCTGCACTCAAAATGTGTCTCACTTGGTTAAGTGTCTCTTGTTAGCACACTATATTATTGTAAACAGAAGTGCACACTTACCTACTTATCTAATTCACTCTTGAGATACTCTCTGACAATAGTGACTCTTCTAGAATGGATTTGATACTTTTAATATGGTCTTCAAAGACAGCCTTAACATATGTTTCCTGTAAGTCTCTGCACAGATTAGTTTAATGCTGCATGCTTAGAAAGATTATTGGAAAAGAATATTATATCCCGGCAGAAATTATTACTGGTAGTTACATATGTTTATTTCAATTAGTACTGAATTAGAAGCTGTAGACAGTCTCATCCTTTTTCACCTACACTGATTTTACAATGAAATAGAATTAGACATGGGGTAGATGGCTTTAGGATGGGGTAAAGAATATAGCCCAATATGGCTTGACTATTGAAATTACCAACATTTATGAGAGATATGAGATAGAAAAAGACTTACAAAATAAAACCTGTTGGTTATTATTGTTATTTTAATAGAACTGAATGTTATTATTAATAATATTAATATTACCTTCTTGAAGTGTGAACACTTGCAGAGATTACATGAATGACAGCTCTTTTTGCTAGATTTAAGAACCACATATAATTTCCTGCAGAGCACACAGCTATCTCCAAAGGACATTTATATTCAATATATATGGAATATCTGAAATTCAGCTGACTGTACAAACGATTATATTTTGCTTGTAGAGTTAAATGTAACGTAACTCCCAACAATAAGGTGCAATCAAAAAACAAAAAAAACCAAACAAACAAAAAAAAMCCCCAAAAAAAACCCCAAGGAAAAATAACTTCAAGAATGTTGAAAATACAAATAGCAGCAATATATGGAAAATTATTTGTTGAAGTTCTCTGAAAAGCTGGAGCTGAATCAGTGCAAAATCTTCCCTGGAAAGATGAATAAAAGGAAAGTATGAGATCTAGTTTTWAAAACCAAACTAACTGTATGATACTTAAGAACAGAATTGAGCTGTAGTACCTCTGCATTTCACTAAGCCAAGAAGAGCAAGCTGGAATTAAAGGAGAACCCATGACCAGAAAGAAGCTGAGCTAAAAAGTAGAAATCAAGGAGCRGGGACTGGAACTCTGATGACAACTTAGAAACATTCTCCATGACATTGAAATTCCTGAGAGTGCATTTTGAACACGTGCCTATTGATTTGCCTAGAATCACTTTGTTGCTGATAAAGCACTCTAAATATTGCTTGTTGAAGTCAGTGTATTACATTCTTCACCTATGAGGTTTCCTGAAGTCAAATTTTCAGACAGCCAACTGAGAAGCAGCATGTTGGGAGGTGACTTGTAACATATCTGACACATCTGGGGAAGGAGAAGGCAGCTTTTATCTTGCATTACCTTTCTCTGGGTTATAATTTTCAGGTCCTTAGAAAATGATGCTGGGTTGAGAGTCTGTCCCCAAGGAAGTTTGCCCACAAGGACAAGACCACAGCAGGGGCCTGTAGCCTGCACAAATTCCTTCCTTTGACATGAGTCAGGTGATGCAGCCAAGCTCCTGGCTGATGACTGTCCGAGCCATGCTGATGGTAACAGTGCTACACCAAAGTACAACTAATAACTCCCATTTGTACCCATTGCTCGTGGTCCTATCACTACAGTTCCTGACAAAGAATCCGTCTCCAGCTTCCCTGAAGAACCTCTAAAGTGTGCAGCAAATAGGACTTGCTGCTTTTGTACATCAAATTCGTCTGATGTGGTCATCTCTGATCTCCCAAAGCAAAGGACCTACAGCAAGTCCATTTCTTGCCTTTTTTCCCGTCAAGTGGCTCCATGTGCCCTGTTTGCCAATATAGACAGAAACACCGATGTTGCCGCAGTTGACAAGAGATCGCAGGCGGGGTTAAGCAG